GTAATGATCCTTCCGCAGGTTCACTACGGAAACCTTGTTACGACTTTTACTTCCTCTAAATGATCAAGTTTGGTCATCTTTCCGGCAACATCGACGACGCCGACGAAACGCCCACCGCGTACCAGTCCGAAGACCTCACTAAATCATTCAATCGGTAGTAGCGACGGGCGGTGTGTACAAAGGGCAGGGACGTAATCAACGCGAGCTTATGACTCGCGCTTACTGGGAATTCCTCGTTCATGGGGAATAATTGCAAGCCCCAATCCCTAGCACGAAGGAGGTTCAGCGGGTTACCCGGGCCACTCGGCCAGGGAGGACACGCTGATTCCTTCAGTGTAGCGCGCGTGCGGCCCAGAACATCTAAGGGCATCACAGACCTGTTATTGCTCAATCTCGTGCGGCTAGAAGCCGCCTGTCCCTCTAAGAAGAATTGTTTGTACGCCGACAGTAAAAACCGCGCACGGCAAGGGCGTAAACCCGAACCGGCGGGCCTTTGGGATGTCGAAATACGCCTAGTTAGCAGGCTAGAGTCTCGTTCGTTATCGGAATTAACCAGACAAATCGCTCCACCAACTAAGAACGGCCATGCACCACCACCCACCGAATCAAGAAAGAGCTCTCAATCTGTCAATCCTTCCGGTGTCCGGGCCTGGTGAGGTTTCCCGTGTTGAGTCAAATTAAGCCGCAGGCTCCACTCCTGGTGGTGCCCTTCCGTCAATTCCTTTAAGTTTCAGCTTTGCAACCATACTTCCCCCGGAACCCAAAAGCTTTGGTTTCCCGGAAGCTGCCCGCCGAGTCATCGGAGGAACGTCGGCGGATCGCTAGCTGGCATCGTTTATGGTTAGAACTAGGGCGGTATCTGATCGCCTTCGAACCTCTAACTTTCGTTCTTGATCAATGAAAGCGTTTTTGGCAAATGCTTTCGCTTCTGTTCGTCTTGCGACGATCCAAGAATTTCACCTCTAACGTCGCAATACGAATGCCCCCATCCGTTCCTATTAATCATTACCTCGGGGTTCCGAAAACCAACAAAATAGAACCGAGATCCTATTCCATTATTCCATGCACACGTATTCAGGCGAAGTTTTAGCCTGCTTTGAGCACTCTAATTTGTTCAAAGTAAAAGTGCCGGCCCGCCTCGACACTCAGTAAAGAGCACCGTGGTGGGATTGAGTTGGACCGCCCGTGAAGGCTAAGTCCACCGGCAGGACGTCCCGCGGCACGCCAGTTAACACCGCGTGCGATGAACCGGCGGCGCGGGACACAAATTCGACTACGAGCTTTTTAACCGCAACAACTTTAATATACGCTATTGGAGCTGGAATTACCGCGGCTGCTGGCACCAGACTTGCCCTCCAATTGATCCTCGTTAAAGGGTTTAGAGTGTACTCATTCCGATTACGGGGCCTCGGAAGAGTCCCGTATCGTTATTTTTCGTCACTACCTCCCCGTGCCGGGAGTGGGTAATTTGCGCGCCTGCTGCCTTCCTTGGATGTGGTAGCCGTTTCTCAGGCTCCCTCTCCGGAATCGAACCCTGATTCCCCGTTACCCGTTACAACCATGGTAGGCGCAGAACCTACCATCGACAGTTGATAAGGCAGACATTTGAAAGATGCGTCGCCGGTGCTAGACCATGCGATCAGCGTAAAGTTATTCAGAGTCACCAAGTTGTACGATGACGAGCGCGAACCCGCCACCGATTGGTTTTGATCTAATAAAAGCGCTCCTTCCGTCTCCGGTCGGAGCTCTGTTTGCATGTATTAGCTCTAGAATTACCACAGTTATCCAAGTAAATGTGGGTACGATCTAAGGAACCATAACTGATTTAATGAGCCTTTCGGCTGTTTCACCTTAATATGGCTTGTACTGAGACATGCATGGCTTAATCTTTGAGACAAGGCATATGACTACTGGCAGGATCAACCAGGGAGCTGTTGCGTTTAGCAAAAAAAAAACGTCGCGTGCGTAACACGATATAGAAAAAGTGTGTTTGTTACACGCGGGTGTTTTTTTTGTTGTAATCAAAAGAGAGATGCGTGTGAAGCGCGCTCCGGAAAATAAATTTCGGAGCGCCACGCGCTTTCAAATTCTGATACAGACAAAACATACACACTAACACGTTTATATTATGCTGTCAACGAACAGCACACAGCACACAATACAACGACAACACACACACCATCCGCCCGCCGTGAACACGCACGCATGCACACACGTAAATATTATACACACACGGGAAAAAATGAATAAACCGTATTGTGTTTGTATATTTGTGTGTTCGACGTGCGCGCGTACACGTACGAGTGTGCGTGTGAGTGTGTGTGCGCGCGTGTGTGTGTGTTTTATATAAATATATATGTATACGTCTAACGTATTAATACCGGTTGTACCAGGGCGCGCGCTTTCGTCGTCGTCGTCGTCGTCGCTAAGAGTGACTACGATCGTACTAAGGCGCGCGCGCCGTTACGGTAACCGGTGGAAAACTTCGAACATTCTCTCGACCCTTCGCTAGATTGAAAGCGACACGGTGTAATCGAAAAGATAGTTCTACGTTTCGGTTATAAAGACAACAACTGTCGTCGTCGTCGTATTCTCACTCGGAATGAGGAGAGATGTCGCAAATGTGAAAAATATTACGAAGAGCGAGCTGAAGATCGTCTTTCGTATATTATACACGTTCGATCGCATTTGGACCGCTTAACGGCTGTGCGCTAGCTAAATCCGCGATCTCGCTGTGGAACGCGCGTATATAATGTATATATGTATATGTGTATATATACGCATAATGAAACATCGAGATAAAACGATAGTGTATGTGCGCGAGGGAAGGACACGCGAGGGAGGGACGCGAGCGACCGTTTTTTGTTCGAGTTGCTGCGCCTCCTCCTCCTCCTCACTCCTCCTCCTCACTCACTATCCACACACCGTCTACCGAGCTCGAATCCGTTTCACAAACCAGCATTCTTTATCATCGTTCAATACATACGCTACATTTATATGATGCGTTTCGAAAAGCGCGGCATCTATCGCACAATTTCCTATAAGGGCTCGAGTAAAATAAAACAAAACTTGTACACAATTTCTAAACGGGCACGGCAAGAAAAACGAAATCTCTATACTCGGAAATTGTGTAAATTCGTATTCCGTCACATTTTACATTTTTAGCTAAGCAACAATATCCGTAGACGATATATGAAAATATACGTGCAATTCGATATCGCCGGACCTTCCGCCAGCGATTCTATGGGATATTAGAAATAGTGTATATTTATATATGTTAGACACATTTTCCATATGTAGTGTCGACACTAATTTCGCAGTAAATTTTTAAAGATGTACGAATATACCTATATCACTGTACGTTCAGTCCGAATTAGTAGGTCGTATTGGAAATTGTTTACATCCCATATTTACACATTTTCCATTAGTAGCGGAGACGTTATTTTCGCAGGCAATCTTCGAAAAAGTACGGACATACATTCCGATATTGGTGTACGTTCAGTGTGCGATACTATGTCATATATTGGTTAAAATAGTCTCTTTTCTGGGATACCAGACCTGGATAGACTTAGGTACAAAGTGACACTGTGACTCTAGAGCAAATGTGCCACGTAGCGCTCTGACAACCAACAGTGACTGAACACTATGTAATATCGGAAATTGTGTAGAAGTTTTTTTAAAATACATTGCCCATTAATAGCGGCCATACTATTATCGCAGGCGAACAATCCGATATCGCTGTACGTCCGTCAGTGATTCAACGTCATATTGGAAAGTGTGTAGATCTTTAATATTTCGACTAATATTCCAGTTGTAGTCTCGAAAGTATATACTTGAGCGAACTTCGAAAATGTACGAATATTCGAATAACGATGTACTACATTTCGTTTCCGTCCGGATTCTATGTTTATGTACGTGTATATATACATATATATATATAATATATATATATATATATGATTATATAATATATATATATATATATATATATATATATATATATATATATATATATACATATATGGACATGCTATGCTGTGTTATCGAAAAACTGTAATTTGAAAAGAATATATACATCGAACGGTCTAATTCTATTATACAGGGTGTCCGCAAAGTTGGGGTTATCCTTTACACGACGTGTAGATCGTGAAAACATAAGCAATTTTTCTTAGTGCCATATACACCAATATCTTAAGGGAACCGAGATAAAGGGCTCTGCAACATCAAAAATATCTGAATACCGTCCTGTAGCCGCCACCCGCCGCGATGCCCCAGACAGGTACCGGCTACTAGCTGAACCCGACGACAGAACTGGGTCGGGGGTGGGGGTCCGAGTGTCAGGTCAGTATGCAACCTTCAACCGACGGTAAAGGGTCACGCGTATAGAGGTATAATAAATATAATAATAATGGCACACTCATATACCAATAATGAACTCGTTG